ATTGCACCCCCCCTGGTCAAATCCTGGCTACGGGCCTGTATCCCATAATACGAGAGGGTGGGGGGTACGTTGTGAGGGTGGGTGGGGTTGTGTATTTATCAAACTTAAGGTAAAAGGATACATTCTAAATAATATTTCGTTTTCATATTATAAGTATATAAGTATAAGTATTATAAGTATAAATCATTCCAATATGATCATTATTAAATGTCCTGTTATATCTCTTCAATTTTAGCTTTATATTATATTATGGTAGGACTTTGTGACCTGGTAGCTCCTTAGTTTTGATTTTTCGAACATGTGAAAGAAAAACAAAGAAACTGAGTTCTGGCTACAAACTCTGATTTTCTAATCTCTATATCTTTGCAACCCAACGAATAAAGATGTAGACCTTTGATGTTTCAATCAGGTTACAAAGGTATAGTGAAAACTTGAGTTTGTGGCAAAAACTCAGTTCCTTTGTCCGATTTCAATCTTGCGTTCTATACACCTTAGTTTAACGTGCTATACACCTTAGTTTAACGTGGATCGAAGGGATTTTCGTGTTGAAGTACGGTTTTTAAGTGGTTGTATATAATAGATGTATGTATAGTGTGTATGTCGCAACATCTTGTTTGATCTGAGCACAAATCGGATTTAAATTATATAATGATTGATCTCAGACAAATACTAGATATAAACCTAACTTTAGCTTGCTTAAATCTATGTTATAAAGGTGTTCGCTCATAAATATGTTAACTATAGCTTGCCAAACGGCTGGACCAAATTGGCTGAATTTTGTTTAGGGAACCCATGAATACCCCCGGGGGGGGGGGGGTAATAGACTAAACAGATTATATTTTTTTCTTAAAAATTCAAGTTTTTTATTCTGTTTAATTCCATGGGCAACGCTGGGCACTTCAGCTACTATTTCTACATCATATGAGTCGTATTTACGCCGCAAAACAAATTGGATTTAAACTATTTTATAATTTATCATTATCATCATAAACCTAACCTAAACCTAACTTAAACTTAATAAATGTTTAATAAATAGATTTAATCTTTTAATAAAAATATCTCAAGATGTTCAGAAACCTCAGATAGATTGTAGTCCTTTAAATAAGAACTAGAAAGGGCGGAACAATAAAATAACAATTAAACAGTTTATAATTTTCAAGAAGTATATAGTTCCTAGCTTGGTAAATTGCACTTAAAACTGAAATATTATTTGTTTTAATTTATACCTAAATCCTTTTATTCAGATAAAACATGTTTTGAATTTCTGCATAAAATCAAAACTATATCACACAGTCAGAATAGATTCTTTAATTAACGACAAGTAATAAGGTTTTGGTTATTTTAAATTTAATAAATAAAAATTATTTGATATTTCAGCTAAATACTGAATAATGATAGGAAGGCTTTTGTTCTGGATCTTCTTTTTTTCAAGCTAGGGAACCCGTTTCAGTCGCAAACAAAAATATCGTTTTTTTCTACAAGAAAGAAATTATTTTAGTTGAAAATAACGACTAATCATAGATAGAATAAAACTCACCGTAATTGAATTGCAGTTCATTATTATTGAAGCAATATTATAAAGAAATGAATACAAATCCCCCCCCCTCCCTCAAAAATTGCGATTACTTTATTACCTACCATTAATCATGGTATGGGTGACAAACTACAATATACGTGATATATATAGCTTAGCTTGATAAAAATATTAAAAGTGTTAAAAGTTAGACATCGAATTTTATACTATAATATACACATAATTACGAATTAGATCAGAGAAATTAAGATACAAATGTAGAATATTAGAAATTAGCAATAAATAAAATTAAATTTTCAATCATGTTCATAAAATTTAGATTTAAATATATATTATTGATATTTTATCACTGTTTGGTTTGATTACAAATATTCCTCTAGGCTGAGTTCTGAAATCAATGTTAGAAAACGCCCCTAAATTTGTCTCAGATTTCAATATATTTAACGGGCGGGGGGGGGGGAGGTACTCTCTAATTTATATTCCTATCCCGTTATATGTCAGTCCATATTTGGCTTTCATATGTGCTTCTATTCAAATGGTTGTTGTACATCAAAACAAAAGAACAGTCAATGACTATGTAAATAATTTACTCTTATTAGTCCACGAGATAATATGTCAATCATGTTTTAGATAAGATTTTATTTGCAAATTTAGATTTATTTTAATTATTTTAAATGTTCAGCTGAGACCCTGACTTAAAGAGGTTGTAAGCCTAATTTCAAGTGACCTTATTTGTTGTTATATGTTCCAAATACCATACTAAACAAAATATTTAAGTATTCAATATTTTCTTTGTTAAATGCATGACATTATAGTAATTGAAGTTCAAGTTTAATTATTTTTTTACGGCCCTAATCTTGCTTTTTGGGATAATTGGGCCAATCATTTATTTTTAAACATGTGTTTATTCAGTTAGTCAATTATCAAGTTTGTATACATTTCAGACTGAGTTCTTAAAATCAATTTTCAAGTCTTAAAATTCTGTCAAAACATTTCTTATCTATTCATCTATTTAAAAATCTATTCACTTTCATCCTCCTGTACATTCATTTTCATCCAAAGAGATACAGACAAATTATCAAAGTATATATCTATATTATCTATTTACCTATATCCACTTATATATCTATCTATACATATATTCTATATTTATCTACATTTATCTATATTCATATATATCCACTTATAAATCAATCTATTCATTTATTCTATATGTTTATTTATATTTCCACTAATATATCTACTAGCTGAACAGCCCGGCGTTGGCCGTGGAAACTTTTTTTTTAAAGAATTTGAAAAAAATATTTTTTTGAAAAAAAAATTGTCGAATTTTTCTTAGCCATGAGTATTCACAAAAAAATTCAGCGCAATCGGTCCAGCCGTTTGGCCGGCTATACGCAACATATAAAGGAATGTCTTGTTTTATTATATAGATAATCTTATATCTATTATTCTACTCGAATAAAAGGATTGTCATGTATTAGAGGTTTTTATTATCTTGTGTCGGCGCACCTTTCAAGCTTTCTTTCGCTGGGCTTGTCAACGGTTTTTCAACGCGCGCAGATGGAACGTTCCTGCACGCAACATTCTATATTTTCATCTATCTATCTATCTATCTATCTATCTATCTATCTATCTATTTTTCTATGTATGTATCTATCTATATATCTTTATATCTAACAATTGCCTAATCTATTTTTAATCACCTATATAATTATCTGGAAACAATTTCAGAACCAACACGGAAAATTCACAATTTTAAACATTCTTCAAATCAGACTCTAATTTCTTAATTCTATCATCGTTGCAACCTGATGGTGTAAACCCTTGATATTTCAAACTTTGACTATTAGATCTAGCAGAGTTCATAGAAATATCAAAGGTCTACGACGTTAGGCTGCAAAGATAAAAGGCCGTTCGAGTTTGAGGCAAGTGTAATCCTTTTTTTCCAGTTTTTTAAAAATTTTTCTCAACATTTTTTATGGATTTATGTCAAAATTATATTTTCACGGTTCGTTATTTATTTTTCAGCACATAATGGTGTAGAGCCTATGGTGTATAAATAATTATATATATATACATATTTGTAATCATATTTTATATATATAGTCTGAATTGTTAATTATACGGTGCAGGTGTTAAAACACCTATCGATTAAATAGATAAAGTTTGGAGGTCCAGAAAATGTATTTTATTTTGTAAATAAATTTTTATCTTTTTTCCCGGAATTTTAATAGTTTTTATTTTCATTTTTTAAATGTTTATTCTATCTATGATGTTGATTAGGTAAACATAGATTAAAATAAAGGTTGGTTAGAGTGGTTCAGTTTTTTTACATTTCTTCTACATTTTCTAAATTGCTATAGTGACTGTACCGAAATATTATGATATAATTAAAAATCCGTCGAAACTAGGGTGAACAGCTTTATATACGTAAATATTTAAAATATATAGTTGACAATAAAGTAAAAAAAAGAAAAAAAGATAAAATAGGTTAAAATAGGTTAAAATAGGTTTCAAAATTAAAGTTCACATGATTTAAACCCAGGACCACTAATTTACCGTGAGACACTTTTTCTTTTTTGTCACTGTCACTTTTTCTTTTTGTGATTGTCACTTTTTTCTTTTAGTGACTGTCACTTTTTTCTTTTTGTGACCGTCACTTTTTCTTAACTTTTCATTATTTATAAATATAAAGTTGTAATCTCTGTTTGTTTGTCCGATCATAACTTGGGAACTCCTGGGCCGATTTGCCTTAAATTTTTATTGGAAAACTCTGGAGACCCAATGCTCTCAGCTTGGTTTTAAGATTCTAAGTTGAGTTGGTCCACTTGTAACTGGAAAAATAGCTTTAATCGTAATTTAAGACAAGATGTGGGTAAACGATATGGGAATATACGAGTATATGACTCGCCACGCTAGGTTCCTAGGATAGTATTTCTATATTTCTTTTTTTCAGGAACTCCCATTCTACCGATAATCTCTGGTAGAACTATGTAAACAATTCATCTACCTCATCATCTCATCTGTCCATGTTCATCAGACCTCTAAAATCAAATTTCTTTCAACCCCTGAACCCACTCCAAAAATCCTACTAAACTTCATAAAACTTCATAAACTTGTCTTTAACTAACATAGCTTTAAACATTCTACCTCCGATACTGCCCACTAACCTCCAATACCCCCCGCCAAACTCCGATACTGCCCGCCAACCTCCGATACTGGCCGCCAACCTCCTATACCGCCCGCCAACCTCCGATACTCCCGCCAACCTCCGATAAACTTACCTCCAAAAACCTGTTAAGCTTCAATAGTATTTTATTTTAGATAATGAAAAGGTAAAAAATTATAGAGTCATTCAACAGGGTCGAGAAAACACCAAACTTTTTCTTCAAACTTAAAATTTTCAAATAATATCTTTTTAACCTTTTGTTTATGTCTAATATAGTTTTGCACTTGATTTTAGTAAGGAAACTCAAAACGCCCTTGTACATTTAATTCTATCGCCTCCAGATTTGCTAATATGAGAATTTCATCATTGATTCAAAATATTACAATTTAATTGTTTATATCTACACACTTTCTTAGTATTTTACTCCTGTGGAATCTAGTAAATAAACCCCGGAACTTATTTGTTTAATATATGTGATTTTTCGCACTATAATATCTCAGGTTTCGTAGTGTGATGTGAAAATTACATTTGGCAAATATCTTTCAAATAAAAAGTTGATATTTTTAAATTAAAGTTCATTGAAACATTTTTATTGAAAAAGAACTCTTGAAGTTTTACTGTTTATTTATTTAAAATGTATTCGGCAGTTGCCTTGTTTTCTTATTTGTAAACATAACATTGTTATTTTACTCCGGGAGTTTTATCTTTCAAGCGCAAATATAGATAAACAGTTCAAATCCACTAAACAAGTGTTTTACATTTATTATTTTCCATTCAAATTAAGGATCTGAATAATTATAGATCAGATAGTCTACAAGTCCTTTAAACTTATAAAAGGTTTACGCCACCAGGTTGCTCAGAGTATTTAGTTCCTTTTCTATGGGAAACTTGGGGGGGGAGGGGGGGGGTTCATAAACGATTCACCTGTTGTTCTTTTTATGTTTGCACCAAATAAAAATCAATTTACTTTCTTCCCAAAAATAAATTATATTCCGAATTTTTTTTGGAAGTTGGAAGCGAGAGATTGTTTCCCCCTGGCGCGTAAAGTTTGCCAGAAGAAACTGAATAAAAGATAGTAGAGTAGAGTAGTGTATAGAATGAGTGCAGTAGAGTGTGTAGTGGAGAGTTGGGTTTTATTGTTCTGACATTTTTGAGCTGGTGGGTGGGAC